AACAACAACAACAACATTTTTAATGGCTTTCGAAGGTGTTGAGTTGGTTTTCCTCTCCATGCTGAACTCTCCCTTGAGCTCCAGATCTATCGTCATCAAGATCTATCAACACTTCCAACCGAAGGTACACCTGCTGTTGTTAGGTGCCCTCAAGTCAGTTTGACTCACAGTGACTCCATGTGACACAGCAGAACTTTCCTACAGGGTTTCCTAGGCATCTCAAACCTAACACGGCTGAAAGAGAACTCTCTGTTTTACCTCTGCCCACACTTACACCTCCTCATTGCAACAGAGTGTCACTGGTCACCCAGTTGTCCCTAACCACACCCTCCATGTCATTCATTCTTGGGAGATTCTGCATTTACAGTTCATTTACTAGGGCTACTTACTCTTTTAAAAAAAAAATTGCATTTTTTTTTTTAGCAAAAAGAAATCTTTTGTTACGTCTTTAACTTGTACAGCAAATTAAATGTATACAACATTTGACATTCCCTCTTCTCTCTTCCCTGACTTAAGAATCCAGCTTCCTCTCATGTTCATGGCCAGGCACTGTTTTGTTCTGTTGTACACAGGGTCGCTGTGAGTCAGAGCTGATTTGACAGCACCTAACAACAACTCACAGTCAAGGTCCAATGTCAGATGCCATCTCCACAGACAGGAATTAATTTCTCATCCACTTGACCTACCTCACTACCCTCTACCCCGTTCTGTTTCTTCCAGAGGGTCTTGCACGTTCCAAGTTCCTTACTCATCTTTTTCCAGAACAAAAGCTCTAGCACTGTACTCACTGCTGTATGGTGAGCACCCTGCACCATTCACGTGGTGGCCCAAAGGCTGATAAACACAAGAACCTTGTCCAGGCACGTTCCTCATTCTGGGCCTCTGTGTCCTCGTTCCTAAACTGAGGCACCGGGCTGATCTCTCCTGCTCCTCCTGCTCCCACATTGATCCTCTCTCCCCACCGAGTGGTTTCCACACAGCATTAGCCTTTACAAACTAAGCTCTTCCATCCCCAGGCACTGGGCCAGCCGATGACGTAACAGAGACACAAACTGTCACCAGGGGTGCCTGATGCCTCTTAGGGGTCTGTTGTTGTTGTTGTTATGTGCCGTCAAGTCGGACCCAACTCATAGCGACTCCTCCTTGGGTTTCTGAGGCAGTATCACTACGGAAGTAGATTGCCCCATCTTCCTTCCGAGGAGTGGCTGGTGGGTCTGAACCACCAGCCTTCT